GCGGCCGGGCGCCGGGCTCTCGGGCCTCGCTTCCAGGGCAGCGCTGGCCTTCCGGACCCCGGCAGTGTTCAGGTCTGTGCGCCCTCCGCAGCTCCGGGGGGCTGGCTCTCCGACCTTCCTTACCCTGCTCCGGCGCGGGGCAGGGCAGACTATTGCGGTGCTCTCCGGTGGACTCCCGCTTTCCCCTTTCCTGGGTTTGGGTTCATCTTCTCCATCGGACACCTTTTAGTGTCATATAGTGGGCGGGGCCTAGGCTGGTACAGTGTCAATAATGGTGTAAGAGGCGACAGATAAAAAAAAAAATAGCAAAAAGATCTTCAAAAAGAAAACACCTAGGGCACGGAGAAACTGGATTCTTCATTGCTATGGCTTGGGGACACTTCCAACTTTGGAAGTGCTTTCTGTACTAAAAAGTAAGGAAATGCCAAAACAGTGATAAAATGGGTGAAACAAACAGTTTAAGCGTGAAAAATACAGTGTCATCCGTGGGCACCTTTCAGGATAATCACAGCGTACAGAAAGTATGTTGCTTTAGCCAGTGTGGTCCAGCAATAGAATTTAAAGTCGTGTAAAAAAGTCAACGCCTCCGTCTTACTAGTGTATCACTGTGAAAGCAAGTCAACTCCTTTACAGACAACATCTATACATGCTTGAATTTAAGGTCTTTATTAACCCTAAGCCATAGCTTTCTTCTGGGTTACCCCTCCTCACAACGTGGGCCAGATGCCATTTTCAGCTTTAACAGGGCTCCTGCTTTACTTAGAACAGTCTGGCCTGGGGAACTCTGCAGGGTCTCAGAGGCAAGAAAGGGCCTGAGAAAGAGCACGTCGTGCTCTCCTGTGTAAGTTCTCCATTGTGTTTATGGGCAAGTTGAAATTAACATTGTCTTGCAAAATGGCGCCATAGTTTAATGTATTCGTGTGCGAGCACTCAGAGGAAACAAGGTAGAGTGAAAAAAACAGTGGGACTGGAGTCTGAAAAAGTGTGTGTGAGAGCTCCAGCTCTCCTGCCCAGTAGGCACTGAATACAGCTTCCAGTCTAACGGCAGCCTGCTCCTCTGAGCTCTGGGGAACCTCACGCTGGGGGGGCGGCTGTTGGCCTGGCAAATGAAGTGATGATTAAAACCCATTTTATAAATCATAAATAGCTATACAAATGCGAGCCATTATTATTTTGAGTTCCTCTTTGTTCCTGCCCACTTTTCCGATTTGAAAAGGTCATTTAAAATTCTAAAGCAGCTAGCTAACCAACAGTTTAAAAGTGGAGTAAGTTCCCCAAGTTCACATTTTGAGCTCTGAGACGCTTGGAAATCAGGCTATACAGTATGGTCAAGTTTTCAGGCCGGCCCACAATTTCTTCTAAAAACACATTTCATTTGCAATAGATTTTGTACGACAATATGAAACATTCCTATTGCAAAAACAAATGGAAGCTCTTGTGGTTTGTAGAGAATTTTCAGAAACTTTCAAGGACTTTGGAAGTGTATTCAGAGCTTTGGAACAGAAAAGTAAAAGAAAAACTAAGGAGAATTTGCATTGTTGGTGGAGTAATTTATAGGGTGAAATTAGCTGAGCTTTGGTCTGCAGGAGATATAAAAGTGGGAGATAGTCTGTGGCACTGTTTGGAAGATTAACAAAAATTTGTTGGAACATTGTTTTCGGTTTAGATAATTATCTATAATGTGCACTAGGTGGCAGTACTGACTAAGGAGTACAGCTTGGCTGCTGTTAAGGTTACTGAATGAGATAGTAGATGGATGGAAAGGCTATTTGTAGGTTAAAATATAGGAATAGCTATGTATTTTTCTATATTTTTCCTGTAATAAGGTTTGTATTCACTCTGAAAACAGCTATCTGCGCTGTTACATCAACTCATTTAGGCAATATCGATTGTGCTGTGGCCAAGTTCCTACTGAGAGAGCGGATGCTAAGTAGGAACGATTCCTGTCCTTGAGGAATCTACCATCTAGCAAAGGAGAAAATGTGTAGAGTAATTTTCACACAGATTCTTACGTGAAAGGTACTAGAGGAGGGGCCAAATGCTCTTGGGGTCGGTTGAGACAGAACTGGAATATCTGACCAATCGTGGAGATAGTAATGGATGGTAGACGTTGGGTTAAGTGTCACCCGAGCTGTGGAGGATTTGACTATGCCATGGGGAGATGACATTACAGGTAAAGAAAACATTGACAGCAAGGGATGGAGATAGAAAATGGCAGGGTGCATCTGCAAAGCAGTTGGGATTGGCCGGCTCATGGGGTATCAGGTGTTAAGTACTCAGACAAAGATGGGAAGGCAGTTGTTGATGTCTGGCTTGCTTTTTCTCATTCTCTTTCTTTGAATGCAGCACTGGAAAGGATTTTTAGGGTCTGCCTTATATCTTCCTTTTCTTTCTTGCTCACTACAGAGTTTTCCTGGTGCTTGTCTAAAGCATTCTATGTGGAGAGGTCCAGCTCTGTAAAAAGATAGCAAGTTCGGCCTTCATGAACAATACCAGGAAGAAAGCTTTGGACTTCCTCCTGCTCCCTGTCTTGTGAAAACAAATGTTACCCCCCAACCTCATTCTTAGCTTATCAGGTGGAACTGGGGAATTCTGGAAAGAAACATCTGAGGCTAAGGGCTCTTTGTCCCTGAGAAACATATTCCTACCTTTTAACCTGTCACTTTGTACCCAGGGTCTGCTATCGCGTTACCAGGTGACCGTTCCATGATCCTAATCAGACTGTATCACTGCCCCCTTAGAAACACTTTATGGCTCCTTTTGGCCTTCACCTCCTTATTATGGTTTTCCAGGTGCTGTTTTCACTGAGCCTACAGTGGTCTCAGGAGACTCTGGGGAGCGTAAGAAAAGTGATGTACAGTACTGGGCTCAGATTTGGGTCTTGAGTTGCCTCTGCTGTCATACAAATCTCAGTTCCCCTCTTGTACCATACTCATATATTTTCCTATATACTTGCCCATTTCTGGCCCCAGACACTGTGAGGGAGGGTCTGTGTCTTACTTATTGCTAGATCCCCACAGCCTGGCCCAGCACCCGGCATCTAGGAAGTGGTAATAAATATTTGTGAAGTGAGTCAGTAAGTACTTGAGGACCTATGAGGCTTGTCATTATTGGCTTCTATTAATGCCCTTGTCCGGGGGCTCCATTTATTTTCTGGGATTGTTTTATTAGCTTGTTTCTTTGCAAAGGGAGATGAAAATGAACTGAGGTGTTCTGTGAGAAAGGCCTCTGTGCCTCCCAAGCCCGCGGGTACAGGGGTGGCCACACAGCTCCTCCTTGGCTCAGGGCCCCTCTCCCATGCTTCTCTGTGCAGGGTGAGCCCCAGAGCCCCTTGCTCGGGGTCTGCCCGATGCTGGTCACAAGATGAAAACCTCTCTTGTTTCAGTCAGCACAATGTTGCCATTATAGCCCCAGTCCAGAGAAATGACACACGCTGCTGGTCTACCCTGGGTGCTGGAAAGCAGATAGACATCTGAGTGGCTGTTGCTGGGGAAATGAGGGTTTGTAGATGATGAATGTGCTCCTGCCTGAGTACCTTTGGGTTGCTGTTCCAGGGCACAAGGCTGCAGGCTGCACCCTGGCTCTGCGTCAAGAAGGCTGGCGTGTGTGTCTGCAGGAAAATGTGCCCAACTGCCACGTGCAGCCAGTCCCTCCATTTGGTCCTGTTCCAGGAAAGGAGCACAGAGGCTCCTGGAGCTGAGCACACACACCAAAGGCTTCTAGGGCAGCAGTGTGTATGGGTGTACACGGGCTGAGGCCAAGCAGAGCTCTTGCTCTGCCTGAAGGGCCAGGAACCAGTTAGCTCGGGCCTGGAATGGCCAGAAGTTTGACTTTTCAGGAGGAATAGCCCAGAAAACCAGATTTTATTACAAAATATCTGGAATTAAAAATGTTGGCAGCTAAGTCCCATTGTTTTAGAACAATGTGGGAAGCAACTCAACCCTTCTTTTGGGCTTCATTGGAGCCTACAGGCCCTGCCTGGTGTAAATGTGAGGGAAACTGTGGGCCTGTGAAGGCTTCTGAAATTTCTATCCTGGTAGAGGCCTCTGCCCCAAGGGCCTGAGGTAGATGTTCCTCCCCTGATACTGCAGGGGACTCACTCTTCTGAAGGGCTGACAAATCACTCAGAGGCTGTGGGCGATTGCCAGGTTGCAAGGTAAATTTACAAAGTCAATTTCACAACCCAGAGCGAAAAACTCCTGAGACCCAGTCTGTCTGGCCCCTTCAGTTTTTCAGAGAGGGCAACTGAAGCCAGTGGAGGGGAGAGATCTTGCCTAAAAGCACACATGGCCTTTTGAATGAAGCCGGCAGTCTGGCGCCCAGGGCTCAAGGTCATCTGGGCCACGCTGTCCACATCCTCCAGAACCATCCTCTGTCCAGTTTGTGGGGTGCATTGGTGAAGAGCAAGACTCTGGGATGAGGTAGACCTGATGATGTTCGGTACCAGCCCGGAGTCTGTGTAGCCAAGGGTATTGCTTCATTTCAACCTCCCAGAACATCAGATTCCGCATCTAAAACTTGGGGCAGCTGACACCTCCCTGACCTGGTGGAAGTGAGGCCATGCCTAGCACAGAGTGAGCCCTCTCCAAACGGCCACTTGACACTCTGTCTAGGGAGGTAGCTGTAAAGTGGCCAAGTGCAGGTGTCTGGTGAGTCAGCCCTGAGTTCAAGTTCAGGCTCTGCCAGATGCAGCTGTGAGACCATGGATGAATTACTTATCAGAGCCTCAGTTTCCTCGACTGGAGGAATTGAGATAAAGATGAAAGTAGAGCCCAGGGGATGAGCCAGACAGGTAGAGTACTCCGTGCTCCACCTGATCCATCCCCGGCAGCACCCCTTATTATGTCATCAGTGTGGGTTTCCTTTGAAGAAGATAGGTGCTTTTGAAAGTCCTGAGGAATCCTGAAATCTTGGCCACATACTCAGGCTGCCCCCTGCAGGGAGTTTTATATATGTCAAACAACTGGATGTGTGACCAGCTCTGCTGGGGTCCTCCTTTTTGTGGCAATTCTAGGTGCTCCTGCACGGGAGGGCTCCTGGGCTACCAGCTCCGCTACCTGCAAGGTATTTTAGGAGGGGTGTTTTACATGCATGTTTAAAAAAAATCCATCAGTGCTGTTATTTCATCAGAAGAACAAATTGCTTGGGCTGCATGGTCAGTTTGTCCTGATCCAGGTGGGCAAAACTCAGTATTTGATG